AAATAACAATTATGCCAGCTCCTGCCCTCAAAAAGCTTGCATCCTAAAGGGGAAGACAACACGTAATAGGGGAATCATAGAATGTACTGGACTGAGCAACTACTTTCAGAAGAAAACCCGAACTGCAGTTTCCTAGTGTACTTTTATTCAGTTAGTAAGTAATAGAGGACAATTTAGTGGAAAAAAGATGTATATTTCACGCACATTTTCCCAACTGAATGATGTGTTATTTTCTCTCAACAGCATATCACTGCAAGTGTGTGGATCCTTGGCTAACTAAAACCAAAAAAACCTGCCCCGTATGTAAACAGAAAGTTGTTCCTTCTCAAAGAGATTCAGACTCTGACACGGATAGTAGTCAAGAAGAGAATGAAGTCTCAGAATACACCCCTTTACTTAGACCATTAGCTCCTGTTAGTGCCCAGTCATTTGGGGCTTTGTCAGAATCTCATTCCCATCAGAACGTGACAGAATCTTCAGACTACGAGGAGGAGGATGACAATGAAGATACTGATAGTAGTGATGCAGAAAATGAAGTGAATCAAGAGAGTGTGGTTGTCCAGCTGCAGCCCAGTGGTGACAGGGATTACAACATAGCAAATACAGTTTGAACTTCCAACTCTATTCATCTTTATACCTTGTATGAAAAAAAATGGTTCATCAGCTTATCCTTTATGTGTATTTAAGTATATACTTTCATTGTCCATCCCCCCCCTTCAGTTACTTCTGTAGAGAGGAATCTTAGTGTGTTCTATGGTTTAATCAGATTATATATATATATTTTTTTAATCAGGTTTTCATCCACAAGAAGCACACTTCTTATTACTAAAGCAGAACATTATCAAGGTGCTGGACTTCAAGCATCATTCTTTTTGGAATGGAATATAGCCAAAAAGTGTAAAAAAGAAAAACCACTACAAGTATGGCTTGCAGTGAAGACTTGATTACCATATACAAGTATATTTATTACCATGATGAATTCTGCTGCCACACCAAGCATGGCCTAACCTAATTTCCCAGAATTTTTGGTATCAACTTGTGGGTTCCCCCTAAACTGTCTTCATTGTTGACAGGTTAGGCCATTCAGTATTTTTCTCATGAATACTACACAATGAAATAGAAATACTTAGTAACAGAATTTTCTTTCCTATTCACAAATAGTATTTTAAGCCAGAAGACAGCAGCTCGTGGTAGAGTGCAGAAAACTTTGATATTAAGACGGTTCTCATATTTAATAGTGTTGAATATTAGTTTGATTCAGCAGCTAGCTAAGCTAATATGGCCCCACATTTATACTGACTTAATTTTCAGGATTACTGGATTGTGTGTTTATGTGTGAACAAAGCAGAAAGACAGGCAACCCTGCATAGAAATACTAAGGAAAATTTTAGCAAATGTTCTGTTCATCTTCTGATCATATAATACATATATATGTGTATATATGTATATATATACACACGCACACAGACACCTCTTAATAAAGAGCATCTTAGGCTAATCTCCTAAACTATGTACATAGAGAAATTTTTTTTCAAGTATTTGATTTGAAAATGAGTGCTTATAAATATTTAACAGAACTCATGATGTACTTTAACAATGTATTATGAAAAGCTAAATTATAAATACATATACCATTGTAACTATGTAGAAAGAAGTTACTCATGTATAATGAAAATAGAGAATTTTTTATGGCCTTGTATGAGGGAAGTTTGAAAAGTTAATAAACACGTTTTCCACTTTAAGTTCTAGCTGACATGTTGTACCAAAGCATTATGAACAGTTTGCATGTTTGTTTGTCAGTATTTCTTAGGTCTGTGAACAATGCTGCAAAAGTATAGCAAAAAAGTAATTAGTTGTATCATGTGTGAGCATGCACATGTGTGCATCTGCACGCACACACACAAGATAATGCATATTTAAAAAGGTATGACCTTGACTACTATACAGATACTTGAGTTGTCTGTATATGCTAAAAAAACTAAAATTACATTTTAACTTTGATTTACTGTTTAAAGTAAAGCTCTTAACCAGTTTTATGAAACTCATACATTCTTGAAAAATCATGGTTTGTAATTTTATTAAATGAAGCAATTCTTCTGTTAACTTCATGTATAAGGATGCTTTCTGCCAGGTGGGGAAAAACCTTTTAGCCACCAGATATGAAAAGCACATTTAGAGTTACGTATCTCAAGGAAACTCCTTTGTCCTTTTCATGGGTTAAAAGTTATGTCACAAATCTGTTGAATTGGGCTTTCTGCTTTTCTCAAAATCTGCTTGTAAAGAAATGACAGTGTAGTGGTGTCCTAGAAAGTTCCTCTCCAACTTGTCCCACATGAAGAAGGGGACTATTAAGTTCAGAGAGACCTCAGGTTGGGGTCTCTTTTCCCTTCCAAGACAAATGTTATTTTAAAAACAAAACACTAGAACAAGGGGTTTACTTTATATAGCACTCTCAGCTAACAACCCAAGTTAGGATAGTAAGCAGCTGTCTTGGAATTCTTTTCAAGTTCTCAATAGGTACAGATTTCTGCATAGAAACATTCTCTTCAAACCAGTTGACACATCTGTAGTATAATACATATTACACTGTTAATAATAGCTAACATTTCAATAGCTTCTACCATGTGCCAGGCACTGTGCTAAGCACTTCACATTTATCATCCCCTTTGATCTTCACAACAACCCTGGGAGGTAGGTGCTATTATTCCCATTTTGCAGAAGACTGAGGCAGACAGGTAAAATGTTTTGCCCAGGGTCACATAGCTGTAAGTGTTTGATGCTGGATTTGAACTCAGGGCCAGGTGTTCTGTGTACTGTGGCACCCCCTGGATGGTTTCAAACCCTAGCTGTGACTATCAGTGTGGTCAGCCTTAGGCAAATCATGACATTTATCTGGAACAGTTTCCTCATCTGTAACAAGGGGGCAGGGGTGGGATTGGAATCAGCCAGAAATCCTGTCTAGCTTTAAATTGCTATCATTAAATAATTTAGTTGTTTCTGTGGAATTGTTGTTACCTACACTCTTGTTAGAGCTCAGTTGCTGGTAGTAATAACTTACATTCAGTTATATTCAAGATTTTAAATCTCAACAGAAAAGTGGACCAATTCATCTTAGATTTGAAAGGTTGGAATAAAAAAGCATCAGCATTTAAGCATAATTAATTGAAACACCCTGATCCACAAACACTGAGGTTCCACTGACACCTGTTCTATCAGTTCATTCAAACATGCTCTTTGCTTAATTATTCAAAGAAAACACTTTTAATAAGATGTTATATGATGTGTAATAAATTATTGTTAGCATGAGAAGAACGTAATACCAAAGTAATATGTAGTAATAGTGTGAAAAGAAAGGAACATGGTTCTGTCTCTTAAAAAAAAACAAGCAGTTTTAAGTATTACAATGTTGTCACTTTTACTAGTTGACAGCTTTTCTCAAAAGAATAGACTTTTTCTTGGGCCACTTTGTAATAAGCAGTGTTGACTGTTTCTTGAATGGACTTTGAGAGATACCTAAGACTAGTTTATGAACCACTTTGGAGTAAGTAGCGCCAGAGAAAAAATGAAGTCACTACTATACCAACTTTGAATTATTAACAAAAAGAGTTAGACACAAACCGCTTTTTCTATAGTCAGTAGAACTATGAAACTACAAGAGTAGTCATGTTGGCAGTGCCAGGTTTACATCATCACCAGGTGAAGAGCCTCTTGCTTTGGGTATCCCTAGTTGTACAAAGCGGTTAGAATGCATCTCAGCTATTTCATCTCCTGAGCTGTTAAGTGTGTAATGTGGTCCCATTATCAATCAAGTTATATTACTGCTTCTTGTTTAGTTTTTCAATTGTGCCCGACTCTTTTGTGACCCCATTTGGGGTTTTCTTGACAAAGATACTACAGTGGTTTGCCATTTCCTTCTCTAGCTCATTTTAGATGAGGAACTGAGGCACACAGGGTTAAGTGGCTTGCCCAGGCGCACACAACTGATAAGTGTCTGAGGCCAGATCTGAACTTAGGAAGATAAGCCTTACATCAGGCCTGGCGCTGTCTGTCTTAATTGATATAAAGGCATGATGTAAACCCAGTAAAGTTTTCAAATTAAGTGTCATGGAATTTTTGAGCTAGAAATGGGACCTGGGAGCTCCAATCAACACCATTATTTATTCTGGGTGGGTGGCAGGCATTCCTCCACAAATTCCCCCCCCACACACACATTCCTGAAGATAAAACATTTCAGTACAAAAAAAGTCAAGATTGTTCATTTGCCCAGGGGAATAGGAGAATAACTACATTTACAACTTCACTTTACCTGGGGATATGACCACTGGACTTTACCCAGAAACAACAAAGATTGGATTTGTAATTTTATTGGTAAATGCCTCTACCAATGCCTTCTATGTGTCTTTAGAGTTCTCTAGAAGACACTGACAAGATGTGCCCTAGGTCTCGTGGGTTAGAGGTAGGACCTGGACCCAAATGTTCTGGGCTCTGAGGCTGTCTCTTCAGTATACTGCCTTCTAATCTTTAGATAAAAGAAGGGGGGGGAAAGTGGAACTGAAGGGGGTAAAGGAAGAGAAATAGTGGGAACCATAACAAATATCAATGTAAATGTCAAAAACCAACCACTGCAGTAATTAACGGACATGGACTATGTGCTTCCTGGATTTTATACGATGTCAAGCAAATTCAAGAAAGGCACCTTGGACAGCGCTTCTCTGGATGATTTACAGGATTTGGACAAGTCATACTGGATGATGGCATAGATGGGTTAGTCTGCATTAGCGGACTGAGCACCCACATCAAGGAGATCATAGATCTATCCCTCATGATTAACTATCCTAACCTGGCATTCAGTAAGTGGCCAGTTAATCAGCTAGGGGTTTTTTGTTATGATAGTACTTTGGATATAAGGATTTGGCAGAGTGTAAATTCCCATTCTTGAGAGGAGAGGGAGAAATATACACGAGTATAGAAAAACCAGAGTAGAAAGTCCACACATTACATAGACAAGAGCCTAGATTTTATTTGGTTGGAATAAATTTATTTCATCTGTCTGTAAACAAGGTGTTTTAATATTATGGCATTTTTTGAAATGCATATTAAATCAGACGAGTTAGACTGTATCCCAGATGTAACAAAGTGCAGGGAAAGAAATGAATAAATCAGCAACAAGATTTTTGTTTTTAAAATCTGTACATTATCCACAAGGCCCAAACAATAGAAGCAAATACAAGAATGTCCCTAAAATAGTGCCATTCAAAATAAGAAACCCTTAATGGGTTAAGATCCATCTCACAATAGCAACAGTTCATTTTTAACAATAGTATGGCACAGAATACATATTTAAAAATTCATCACAAGACAGCCAAGTCAGTTATTCCAACCAATACCATCTCCCATTTATTTTTTATACAGAAGTCATTTGTTGTTTATTTTTTTTTTAAATGAACATACAAGTTAGTTCCGTGCTTTGAACTGACAGCTTGGTTACACATATTTTGGATGACTAGAGCACAAGGCAGATTTACTCCACAGCAAGGGTGTGACAGGCCAAATGCAGGTTTTAAAATTTGAAATGTGTCTATTTCAACTATTTTAGCTTATAAAACTTCCAACCCTCATCCAAATATCGGTATTAAAGCAGCAACTCCATTTACTTTTTAACCAATCAGTGATCAGACCAAAATAAGTCAGTCTAGACTACCAGTATATATAGCTGAAGGTGGCAGTTTTTTCCACAATAACAACAGAATTTCATACAAAAACCCAAGCTGCAAATAAAAATTGGTCCTATGAAAAAATCGGACACACTCCAGATGGTTATATTGGGGTATCTAATGTCCATGATGGCAGCCTTTCATAAATCAATTTTTAAAAAACAAACAGGAGCTGATATGAAAAAGAAAAGACAGACACAGACCTCTCAAGTGCCTGAGCTATTGCAGTGATGGAAGGTCCCTAGGGAGTCAATCCACATAGTCTCTGTAAGATCGAGGAGGAAGTGTGCCCTTTTGCACCTTTTGCTCTCGTTTGCCATTGTACTCCAAAGTAGTCGTGTGTGCTCTAAGACACTAGGAAAAAAGCTTTGTGTCTACTGGAGTACAACAGCAACACTAAGGCAGAATTTCCCGCAGTTCTCAGCAGCTCATAAACGGAGACAGTGTTAAAATAGCTGAATAATCCAGGCACTGCAAGAGTAGATGGAAGCAAACGAAATACCGTATGTGGGAAGGGAGGAGAGGGGAGGAGACAAGAGAGATGCATGCACTTTTTCCTCCCAACCATGCTCTATAAAAGGAAGACTAAGGGAGCCATGTAATTGCTCAAAGTGCTGAAAAGACATTGATCAAATTGGAGATTGTACAATCGGCACCTCGCTTATTAGTGTTAAACTTATTTTAGTAGTCTCAAGATCCCACTAATTGCTAAAATAAAGCAATGCCCAAATTGGCATGCCCCCCTCCCCCCAAATTTCAAGGTATCATGCATATCATTATTATGCTGCAATAATGGTGCCAGATAAGGGTTTCTATTACATACAGTGGTTAACATACAAATGATCCATTTGGGTAATGACATTAGAAAATAGGGAAATAAAAACAAACATACTACCATCTATAGTCTGGTAGTACTATGAACATATAACTGGGGTGGCGATGAAGACAGTTGCTAGGTGGATGGGGAGAGGCTGCTTAGACGTCAGACCTCCTCAGGTATAAAGCGAGTTCAAATGCTTTCTTGTTCAGTGTCCCTCCATGGACACCTTCCTTTCCCATGACTATAACCAATGCTGGAGTACACAAGGAAACAAAAAGTGAACAGAATTACTTATGAAACAAAAACAAAAACACCTTTCCCCACCAACAAAGGGATACAAAGAAGACACAGGTTCATAACCCCATCACCTGCATTGCTAATAAAATTTCCAGAATGAAGACTTAGGCTTACAATTAGGAAAGTTTAAAAGCAATCCCCCTAATACTTAACAGTCTTGCCTAGCAGCTAGAACCCAGAGTCTCTCAAGTATTTGGCCATTGAGTATGCCTTCTTATTCAATCCACCTCCATGGACCCCTTCTTTGCCCATTACAAAGACCAAGACTGAAAGAGAAAAAAGAAAAGTGTTTCAAAAGAAGTGTTAGACAAGAAAGTCATGTAAGTTTTAGCAGACAGCACATGGAATTAAAATTAATAAAAGTTACTATATTAAGCTGGTTTTCCATAAGCTACTGAGCACTGGTGCCAAATGGATTATTTAGAAAGTTAAAATCACTCCAAAACAGAAGTTTTATTGACATTTTCAAGCTAACAAGAAGCTACAATTTCATGCACAGCAATTATTACGACCACTGCAGAACCCTGAAATAGTTGGGAATTAATTCTGTACAAATATAGTAAAAGAGAAATAATAACCTGTATGGTATACAAGAAAACCCATGACAAAAATATTAAATTGCCTAGGCAAGTAATAACTGAGACTAGGTGCTGTTCTATTTAACAGGAAATACATGTTTTCCACAACTTTTACATGTCATTTTTTCCCTCCAACACTTTAAAATACTAGCAAGGTTGGGTGAACTGGCCTTTTATTGCTAGATGAGATATGAAGACAAAAAGTATTGGAATTACAATTTTCATTGGATTTCAGCTGTGGAAGAAGTAAAGTCTTTCAGCTTTAAGGCCTGTGTTTACCAATGTTCCTATTTAAGACCAAACGACCTTGAATTAGATCCACTTTAATAAACGGGGTATATAATGTAAGTTTTGAAAACAAAACTCATTAAAAAGTGAGTGGATGGGGAGAGAATATCCAATTTTATGTTAACTGCCACTAGATGTCAGTAAAATTTTAACTGTGTGTTTACTTGAAGTATTCAGAATTGAATCAGTATAGGTGCTTCTTCCCCCTCCCCCTTCAATGAAGAATGCAACTCTTAAAAATTTTTAATTCTGGTCAAAACACCAAATAAAACAAATATTTCCATTTACACTGTAAAACAGAAGAAGATGTACATGAGACTGTGAGTCTCTAAAGAAGAACTGGATTATAACCCTTCCTGAAGGAATGGTGAAGCTAAAAGAAAAATTTATCACCTGGTGTTCAATGTCTTGATGATAAGCCTTAGACTTAAGACTTAGCTGGTCCCTGGAACATAGAGTCTACTGCCAGTCAGGATGTGCCCACTATACCTAAGACATTTCTAGTTTGGTTGGTTCTACCACAGCTTACTGACATCGCCATAACACATCAAAAGGAAATTCAAAGGAAATGGATCAAGTACCTCAAGTGTGGGGTGTATTGTTATTGTTTTTTAACTTACAGCTTAAACCTGACATGGCCCTAGAAAGTTTATAAAAAACAGTTATCTCATTTTATCCTTACAACAGGAGACTGCCTCCTCTAGCAGGCCCTATAAGTTCCTTCCAGCTTGAAAGTTATGATTCTGTAAATGAACAACCCATGATATGAGCAGAACAAGGGTTTGTGCCCAATGTTAGAGATGAAGCTAAGGGCCAGAGAGGCCACGTGTCTGATGGAGAGTGGAGGCAGGACTCCTAGGAGGCTTCTTGGAATCAGTGACCAAGACGTATATTCCTTCCGTTTCAGATATACTATACTTTTATACTTTTAATGTCTTAATGTCAAGATTCCAGTCACCAAAGTTGTAAGCAATTTATCTCAATAACTTTTGAGACAATGACATTTATTAGAATCATACTGCAAATAAAAAGCCAATTTAAGAGGTTTATTAGATACTGAGTTCATATGTGATGTGCTGTTTCCAAATTAAGTGTTTGAAACCTGGCTATTTTAGAAAAGACAAGGATTTTCCTTTTTTTAAAACGAGTTTTTAATAACTACACAATTCTATGTTAAATGGTCTTTACAACACTTGGAAACAATAATGAATACTAGTTATTTTTAGAGTGATTCCCTAAAAAACATCAAGGATTTATTCCTTGTAAGTTCACTGAATAAAAAGCCTTTTGGAATTTGATGATGCAGTTAATAAGCACCTGAATTAGCTACAAGGCTAGAGTACTATCAGAAAAAAGAACTTAAGCTCCTTAGATCTAAAATCTAAGCATTCTCAAATGTAACACACCCTCAAATGCTTAGTCCTATATGATTCTGTTTTGGCTAGGCAATGGGGTTAAGTGACTTGCCCAGGGTCGCATAGCTAGTAAGTGTTATGTGTCTGAGGTGGGATTTGAACTCAGGTCCTCCTGAATCCAAGGCCAGTGCTCTATCCACTGTGCCACCTAGCTGCCCCGTCCTATAGAATTTTGAAAATTAAAACAAGGAAGATTCGGGGCAGCTAGTTGGCACAGTAGATAGAGCACCAGCCCTGAAGTCAGGAGGACCTCAGTTCAAATCCGGCCTCAGACCAAACACTTGACACTGTGTGACCCTAGGCAAGTCACTTAACCCCAATTGCCTAAAAATTAAAAAAAAAAAAGGTAAGATTTGACAAAAGGGACAGAATGGAAAATTAAGATCATAAAAAAATTTTGCTTAGCAAAATAAAATAATTGCAATTTATTAGCGACCCTGACGAAAATCTAGAAGGCATGCTAATCAAATCTGGGAATGACATAATATGGAAGGAGGGCTAATAAACTAAGAGAATCAAGTCCCCCAATATCAACAGAGTGAAAATGAAATGTAAAAGGATATATGTAAATGTACATGTCTTGAAGCAAAAACTTTAAAAAGCTACACTGGAATGGGAAGGAACTTAAATTGCCACTTTACATGAGGGGGAAAAAATAGGGTTTCAATTGACTGCAAACTCACTGAGTCAACAAATGACAAAGAAAAGCTCATATGGATATGGATTAATTTCTGGAACAAGGGAAGAAGGACCCTAACCAAATTCTGCGATGAGCTTTCCACATCTCAATACTGTGTTCAGTTCTGAGAACATTTTAGCACTCCAACACACTGGAACCAATCCAGAGGCTTACAAGGGGACCATGTCATATAAGGAAAGGCTGAAGGAATGGAACTATTATGTTTAGCATAAGGGGAAAAAAAACGAGGGATAGCTGTTTCCCTCCAATAACTGAAGACTATCACAAAGAGGAGGGATTAGTGTTACTTTGCATGGCTCCAGAAGACAGAACTGGGCCTGGTGAGTAAAAGTTACAGGGAGAGCTTGGCTCAACATGTGGAAGAACTTCTAACAACCATGGTTTAGCAGAGTCCTGGATTTAATGTCAGAATACCTGGTCCTGACTCGTGGCTAACCCATAGCTGGGAAATCACGGACAGTTCATGTTACTTCTCTGAATCATCATTTCCTTCTGGGTAAAACAAGGATTAGAACACATCCAAAAGTGGAACAGGATGATCTGTGAGATAAAGAGCTCCTTGTTACTAGGTATATTTGGGGACAGAATAAAGGACCACCTATCAGGGAGGGAGATTCCTGTATAAGGTAGGAGAGTGGACGAGGTGGCCTCTTCCAAGATTTTACAATTTTTCCTTCCTTCTCTAATAAAGTCATGAAGTAATAAAATGAATACTGAAAAATAAAAAACAGGAAGGCAAACAAATCAAAAGCTAGAAAAGGCATACCTGATAAATGAAATTTGAAAGGCAGTGTTGTGCAGTGGGGAGAGCAATGGATTTGGAAGCAGAGGACACAGGCTAAATCTCCACCTTACCTCTTACTTAGCAGTGTGACCTTTTCAGTACTCAGTTTTCTAATTTATAAAATGAAATATAGGACTAGATGGACCTCTTAGGTTCCTTCCAACTTTTAAAATTATGCTTCTATGATCATCTCATCTACTAATGTGCTTAATCAATCTGTACAGTTTAATAATCCTATTCCACCATCATTACTGACGTGCCAAGCGTTTTGAAAGAAGCGTGAGTGACATTTATGACATTTATGAAATTTGTAAATGTGAAAATTAGTGTTAATACAGAATATATTCAAGTTTAGAATGATGACAGAACTGGATTTAGCATCTGACAGGAAATTTTAGTGCATTTGTCATCTAGTGCCATACAATACATGGAAACCATCTTCATAGTTTAAAAAAAATGGATTAATCCCTTAGTTATGAACTGACATTTTTGTTTTACATATTAATAGTCATTTTTAAAAGGGGTGCAAGTTACAAGGTGGCAATGCAACAGCAATTAACTGATTACCTTACAGTAACAACTTTTATTTTCAAAAGGACATCTTACTTACCTCGGCCAGCTCTGCCCACAGCAACATTATATGTCGGTTCACCTCCTTGACTCTTTGTCCTGATGTCCATTGTGCAGTCACCGTCCACATACAGACTATCTCTGATTACTGAGCACTTCTTTGCACCAAGAGTCAAACCATTGGTAAAGAAACCCTCTCGATCTTTTCCTACAATCATGTCTATTTCTATTGGCTGCCAAAAACCAAACCAAAACAACAACAAAAAAATGGGAGTCAGTACATCCTTTTGAAATTTCAACAACAAAATTCAGCAAGTCAAATTAGCAATGTTGCTGCTAAGATATCAGGGCCTCCAAATTTCACTAGGAGAAATCACAACTTTGGTACCTTGAATGTAGTTCTATCCAATTCATAGCTTTGTTAGTAAACTTATAAACCTGATTTTATAAATCTTACTAAACAATTTAAATTAAATTTTAATAACATGGGAACCCCTACCAAGGCATAATTAATGGCAGACTTTGCTTACTGAAAAATAATCATACAAATTAAGATTTTTTCAAAGCCACAGACACCCTAAAAGCATTTCATAGTTTTTACTGGTCATAAATTATATTTCTCTTTGTAACATGCATTTATAGTATTTTATTATAAAATTCTCTTCACAATAAGTTTTTTAAAAATTCTATTTAGATCAAGTGCCTAAAAAAAACCTTATCTGTTTATACTGATTCAGATACAGCTTTTTAAAAAAATGAATTTATGACTTGACTCTTATCCAATATTACCTGAGTTTATCATAGTCCTGAAGTCTCCTAACAAAGTTATTGCTCTAACAAAACTCTTAGTTGGTATTCTTGGTTTGAATGGAATGGCTCAATATAGGGATTATGTATTTCTAAAAGTCATGTTTTTTTCTTTCTAATCATTACACCTTCATCCCTCTCCCATTTTTGATAATGATCCTTCCAGCAAAGGGAAAGGAATTCTTTCTCTAGTACTGGAATAGGGACTGGCAAAAGAACAGAAAATGGAGGTTAAGTGGAAGAAGAAAGTAAGGTCGACAACAGGCCTGGGGAGAAAATGTGCTTTCTAACACTCCAGGACTGAAAAAGAAGGCATCGCCCCCATCAGAACTGCAGAGTCATAGCAGGCCCAGCCATCTCCAAGCACAACTCTGGGAATCTGCCCAGCCAGACAGCAAGTCACACAAAGGCAGGGGAAGGCTGAGAGCAGTAAAGGGAAACTTGATCACCAGATGCCAGTCCTCAGGATTTTCCTTTAACACTAGTCCACTGCAGGTACAGAAAATCTTGAAGGACTAGTGTCCAAAATTACCCTTTTTACATAGCATTAACTCACAAAACACTAAGTAAAGCGACAGCTTAGAATGATAGGAGAGGAAAAATGAGAGGTGGTGAGAGAAGGGAAAAAAGACAAAACTCTATCTGATAAAGTACTGTTTCAATGATTTATTTTGGAGGTCCGTAGGCAGAAAGATTGGTAGCTGATGATTAAATGGCAAATACTCCTAAAACATGGCAACTAAGTCAAGACTATCACCTCCCACCTCTAATACTTTAAGCAAATCAGTTACAGCTTACGCCAAAAACATGATAAAAGAATGAGTAATAAGCATGTTATATACAGCATAAATCTAAATTAAATCCTTCCTTCTGAAATACCACTAAGGAGAAAAGGAGTGGTAGAAGCAAAGAGATTAAGTGTTACCAAATTATTAAAATAACCAACTGAAAGCCCCCTCCCCCCCAGGAGTCTCCCTTTTTGGAACTAAACTGTATAACAACAGGATTGGGGAGAAAAATGATGAATATTTCCCAGGAGAAGAAGGAAAGAGGTATATGGAATGAAAATTAGTGGCAGTTCGCCATTTTGGAGAATATTTGGGGGAAGAAAAAAAAACCTGGAGCCAACGATAAGGTTGGGATTCACGAAAGACACCTACGTTGACCGCTTAAGTCTGCGGCAAGCACTAGAGGCCAGCACGCAGGAAAGCCTACGCAAAGACTCAGAGAATTCCCTGTGCCGGCCGGGCCTCCTCCCACCCCAAGCCGCATTGCCGGCAATTCCTTAACCTAGTGGAGCCAATTAAACACTCCGCTCCGGCCATGGAGTATATAACGGTCCTTCTATCTCTAACCGGGATGGGGGGAGGTACCCTTTTCTCTCACAACACACTAAATCCCCCTAAGCTGGCAGGTGGGCAAAAATGGAAAACCTATAAATTAGCAAAAACTGCTGCCATCATCGTTAAGGTCTAGAGTGTGCTTTCTCTCCCCTTTCGGTTTAGAAATCCCTCTTACATCCCCGATAAAGCTTTGCTACCGAACTACCCAAAGAAGTACAATTAAAAAAACAAAAAGCCCGACAATCCTGCACGGGCCTAGAGTTACTACTATGCAAACCTCCAGCCCACAGCGTTGGGGGTGGGGAAGAGAAGAAAAGCATTAACTAGGTAAAGTAACCTCTGGCTGTACCACCACCACCTTTATCCCTACCACCACATCTTCAACATCTTTAACGATACGTTTTACTTGGATATTTACATATTATAACACCCCCCCCACGTGTTCCTGGGAATCAGTTTTTGCTATCTGGCTAGGCATATATACATACATAACTATACACACACACACACACACACACAATTTGTACACATAAAGCTGATGCATCTTATATATAGACAGACCCCTTTATATGTATATATACCCATCTATACGTACATAAAGCTTTATACACATACATACATACATACATACGTACACACATATATCTGCCTAGCTACATAGCGGCAAAAACAGATTTCCTGAACAGGATTAATCCTTACAGGGGTTAATCCTACATGTTTGAATAAATCAAGATTTTCCAAGTAAGATATTGAGGAACGGTAGAGAAAGAAATTAATTTTCCTCCTCTCAATCTTAACTGACTTCACAAGTAACATAACAGGAATGCTAGCAGGCAAAAAAAAAAGGGGGGGGTTAAAAAAAAAGGGAGAGGAGAGGGAATGAAACAATGTGAGAATCCCACCACATGAGAAACTAGTTCAGTCTCATTTTTAGGCTGTCAAGCTTTTCTTGCTCCCCCATCCCAAAATTGCTGGAACGGGGGGTGGGGTGGGTTGAGGAAGAGATCGAGAAGGGGGAAGCCGCTCCCCTTTGCCCATGCTCCTTTCTATTCCACCTCCATCACCAACCTAACCCTTCCTCCTGGATGCAAGGAGTTGGGAGTGAAGAGGATGCGGAGATGGATGGAGGGATGGACGGGGGGGGGGGATTCGATGATGGCCCAACCATTGGAGACATCCTAATAGGGGGTTAAGCCTCTAGCATCCGGGCCAGCAGAGGCGAGGAGAGCAGTCCAGGACCCACATTCCCCTCCCCTATTGCAGCCTCCTCCTCCTTGGGGAGCAGCCCAAATCCCCACAGCCCCCTCCCCTATTGCAGACCTCTCCTCCGAGGGGGGAAGCAGTCTGGAGCTCCGAACGCATCCAAGATTCCCGAGAGTTCCCCTCCCTTAAGGCAACCCCCTCCCCTGGGAGGGGGGAAGCATCCCTGGGGCCCCGAGAGCTCCCTCCCCCAGGAAGGGGGTAACCTCCCTGGGCCCCTTGCGCCCAGTCCCCCGGGGGGGGCAGCACAGCATCCCGGGGCCCGTCGAGCCCCCTCCCCGGGCCCTCGCGTCCTCTCCCCCCCAGGGCAGCACCCCCGGGCCCCGCGCCCCCTCCCCTCCCGGCCCGCGCGGGCGCCCCTTACCGTGATGCTCTGGAAGATGCCCCCAGCGGTGGCCGCCCACACGTACTTGGCGTCGCAGTAGCCGACAATGGCGGCCTCCTGGCAGCATCCATCGCACATCAGGTTGTCCACGTAGCTCTGCCAGCCGGCCATCTTCGAGCCCTCCCTCCGCACTGCAGCGGGGCGAGCGAGGCGCAGGCGGGGCGCGGGCGGGCGGGCGCGCGGGTCTGCGCAGGCACGGAACCACCCCCGAGCCGAGCCGGGCCGGACCGGGCCGGGTGGAGGCGGCGCGGACGGGGACGGGGCCCGGGAGGCGGCGGTCGGGACGGGCCCGGGAGGCGCCGGTCACTCGGGCGGCGGCGAGAGGCAGGGCCGGCGTGCGCCCCCGCGGCGGCGGCTGAGCGGCTCGTCGCGCTGCGCGCCCTCCTCGTGCTACTCGCCGACGCTGCTACGCCCGACGCGTCCCCACTCCGAGTGAGAGGCCGGCCGGCACCAAGGAGCCTCGGCTCAGGCGGGGCGGGCGGGGCGAGCAAGCGTGCGCGCGGGACGGGCAGGATCCTTCCGCCGCGGCAGGCGACGCGCGAGCGCGGAGGGATACGCCATCCGCAGCCGGAGGCCACGTGCGGTGCGCCCCCCGCCCCCGCCCCCGCCCCCGCCCCGGCTCCCGGCGGGCGGCGCGCCAGCGGCCCGGCTCGGCGCGGGGGCGCACGGAGCAGGCGCGCCCGCCCCTTCTCCTTCCTCCCTCCCTCCTTTTCTCCCGGGGAGGGGGTGGGCGCGCCGAACCTCGGGGCTTCCCCGCGACCTTGACCTTGTCAGCCGGCAGGGCGCGAGGCTGCGCCTGGGGGCCGCCGCCCGGGCGGGCGCCGCCCTCCGCCTCCTGTGCCGCCGCGCTCCCCGCGTGGGCAGCCCCCCGCTTCTAAGGGGTCTGACCGAAAGAGGGGATCGGGATGGCTCAGCCCCTTTGTTGTCATTCTGGGGGTTGGGGGGCGTCCCGGGGACGCAGGGGCCGGCGAGTCCTGGACCGTGCCTGACGCATCCCCGCGGCTGGCCGCTGTCCCCCGAGCACGCCCCTCCGGGCGCCCGGCCGGTCCTCAGCCACAGAGGCCGTGCTCACCCCTCGGGGTCAAGGAAGCAAAGAAAGCGCGCGCGTGGGTCTCCTCGAACAAGGCCCCAGGTCTTGGGGGGTCTCGTTTTGCCAATTCTTTCCCCCCTAACAACTGGCCGTCCTTGGGACACCGCGTTCATTTCGGACGTAGTAACCACGTGTAGCCGAAATAAACCCTGAACCCTAACACCGAGGGCACCATGAACCTTTTTGTGGGGCTCTGTCGCTCCTGAGCATTCTGCAAGTACCGTTAGTGCTGGAGCAACTGATGAAAATGGAATAGGAATGTAGGCAGGGGGCTGTTGCGTGCACTTTACGGAGGGCAGGAGGAATCCAGGCAACAGACTGGAGTCCACCACGTATAGTCGTTTAAACAACCATGATGCGCTAAAATGCAGCACTGGCTGAGGGCAGACTCGCTCTCACAAACCAAGAGAATGAAGAAAATCCATTAAATGAAGAGGCACATAGGTATCTATGGTTCTCCAAAGTTACATGATTTGTCAGTTAAGAAGAGATGGGAGAAGTATTGTTAATGTGGATCTGCTGAATAGGGTGGGAGCTGGGAGAAGGGGAGAAGAGGTCTGATTTTCCTTCTTTGCATATTTTGAAAAGTAGCAGAATGAAAAAATGATGTACCACCAGGCATGGTGTCGAGGACCTGCCAATCTTTTTGTTATTCAGTAGGATTCCTGACCCAATGGACCATGGGGTTTTATTAACAGAGATAGTGGAGTGTGTTGCCATTTCCTTCTTCAGTAGATTAAGGCAAATGGAGGTTAAGAGGTGACTTGCCAGAAAGTGTCTGAAGTGGAATTTGAACTCAGGTCTTTCATGACTCCAGGCCCAGTGCTTTATCCACTGAGGCACCTAGCTAGCTGTCTACTGCTCTTTTTACTTAGTTAATTGTGTGACTTTAGGCAAGTCACTCTCGTGGCCTCCCTTCACTCATCTGTAAAAGAGGGACATGGACTTCATCTCTAAGGGCTTTTCCAAGCTATAAAGTTTATGTTCCCACAACTTCAAAGTGAGGTAATACTGTTTTCCTACTTTAAAACAAAGTATCTTGGTGTTATAAAAGGATGGCCCAAATTGTTTCAATGTATTCAACTTTTAAGGTTAAATTGTCTGCTGCTGCTACTCCCCTCCCCTTAAATGATTATAACTTGCAATCCTAGCATGTTACTGCCTTAAAATCTATGATAGTTTTACAGATTTATTGAAACTAAACTTTGCCTTTACCCCAAGGTTTACAAGATATATCATTTGTAGTTATTTGTGATCCATTAGCTGCTTTAAGTTTTTGCTAACAGTTTTCTATGTAGTTGTTGCTGATTCAGACCACACCTGTATGTCCTGCTATGTATACTTTGATTCCTTCAAAATGTTGCAGAAATGTTTTAAGCCTGCTATTATTTCTATACTTTTCTCAGAATTTGAAATCCCATTTGTGCTTTCTTTTTTTTAAACTATTGATGAAGTAAATAGTGATGGCATAAAAGTACTGCTCCAGATTTGACATGCTATTAAGTTGTTCTAAAGTACCACATAGTTGAATTAAGATTTGCAAAATACTTATTGAAGTATTTTAATCAGACAGCTTTAAAAAAAACCAATTTGAATTAGTTTATTCTTATTGACAGAATTTTTATGTTTTCTGTTTTCATTAATATGTTTTCTCTTAAGCCAATTCTTTGGTTGTTCGTTTTACAGTTAGAGATTGATTTTCCTTCCTATCATGCTGCATTATATATTTTGTTTGTTTAAAAAAAAGATACTTGCTGCTTTCATGTGGCTTTTGCTATATGCTATTCTAGGCACTTTCAAATTTGGAAGATAGAGGTAGACACTGACTTGCAGTATGTCTTAACTAAAGTTATCAAATATTTATTTTGAGAAACATAAATGATGGCTATTTTGTATATCCTCTTTGGATTTCCTGGGGAACCCTAGGACAAGTGAAATAACAGGGCTAGCTGGGATGTATGTCAGAAAAGGAGCTGATGCTCCTGTTAATCAGATAGCCGTCCTGTTGATCTAGTCCCAGCAGTTCTCAAAGTGTGGCATTAGGACCTTTGGGGTCTTGAGACCCTCTCAGGGAGTCCAAGTGGTCAAAACTATTTTCATAATGCTAAGATGTTTTAATTTTTAATATGGTAAATGTCAATAGATATAACCCATATAAACAAAATATCTTTGGAGAGGGGTCCTCAATATTATTTTTAAGAGTGTAAAGGGGTTCCAACCCTAAAAAGTTTGAGAGGCACTGACCTAGTCAACAGCAAATACCATTGAAGTTAGATCCAAAAAGTGTGGAGACAGAAACCATTCATCCTTTGGAATGGAGCTGTGATTCCCTGTTCTCTAGTTGATTAAAACAAAGATATTTCATATTCTTTTCAGTGCCTAAGTTGGTTTGGGCTCTTTCTAATAGCTCAGGAATCGTTTAGCGCATGTGCATCTACATTAAGTTACTGTGGTTAATTAAAAGGGGCAACAAGCTTGATAAACATTGACACTGAAACTAACAGTAGACAGAGTGATGGTTCAACTTAGAATTTGAACTCAATGCAATTATTGGGAATATGCCTACCCCAAATGGCAATCTGTTCAACAAATATTAATTAAGTCCCTGGGGTAAAGCACTGGGTAGGTCCTGGGGACCTGAAACATGGTTTCTGCCCTCAAGGAGCTTATATTTCTAAGATGGGAAAGGAATACAATGGGAACACAAATAAATAAGTACTAAGTTAGAAATAAAGACTGAACTTGGGATCTTATTGGCATAGGGAGTTCCCAGGTGAAAGAACTATCAGTGCAAATCGGCACCTTCTTTGCAAAGCAGTCTTTGAAAATTGCTACTGCAGTGAGAGATTAAATGACTAGCCCAAAATAGCTAGTCTGTGTCAGAGGCTTTGAAGCCAGGTGTTTTGGGCCAGCCCTGTAGCCACTACATGCTGCCCACAAAGTCATATAAAATAACTTTCAGGGGGAGAAACATTACCAACTAGTGGGATCAGAAAGCCTCATGTGGGAGGTGGCGTCTAAGCTGTGATTTGAAGGAAGTCAGTCAACAAACATTTATTAAGCACCTTCTATGTGTGAAGTGGTATTGAGGTGACACAGTGAATAGGGAAGACTCAAGTTCAAAACTGGACTCAAAACACTTACTAACTGTGTGATCCTGGGTATAAGTGACTTACAGTTTCATCATCTGTAAAATGAAGTGGAGAAGGAAATGGGCAGACCACTCTAGTATCTTTCCCAAATGGGGTCAGGAGGAATCCAGAAATGACTAAAACAACACAACAAAAAATGTGCTAAGCATTGTGGATTTAAAAATTATTTTAAAACTGCATTCTCCTCCACTGTGGTGGCAAGAGGAGATATAAAGGGGAGGCAGGTCCTATTTAAAAAAGTATCAGATTTAATCAGCTGAATTTTTGACTGGCGACCAGAGATGAATACATAATCAGTCTGATCTCCTATATCTCTAATTCTACAGTGCTATAGAACACTGTCGGTTAATATAATGGCCTTAGAATAATACAAAAATTTCACTAATCAAATGAAAATGCTGTTATGTTCCAAAAATTCCTCTTAAGCAGGAAAGTGAGTTAATACGTTTCTGGAAGATGGCAACAGGAAAGCATTAAAACAGGTGCTTAAAAATTGTTAACCAAGACATCTCATCCTCCAAGCATTCTGACTTACTGAAAAGATTCTCTCTCCTTTGCTCTATCCCCTTAGAACCTCTGACTTGCTTCAAGATTCAAACCAATCTCTACCTTCTGTCTGGCTACTAGAGCCTTCACCTGCACAGCACCTTTCCAGGCGGTCAGTATCTTCTCCCTTACCTATTCATATACATATTCTCTCACCTATTAGAATGTATACCCCTTGAGGCCAAGGACTGTTTTTGTTCTTTGTCTCTCTTGTGCTTAATAGTGCCTGGCACTTAGAGCACATTTAATTAGTGCTTCTTGATTAATTTATTGAGGGTTTTCTATTACAAGGTTTGCCCTTAGGGGACTGCTTTAGCCTTCTGAGGTCCCTAAGGAGACATTTAATGCATGAGTGCTATAATGTCCAAGCCACAAAGAGCTGCTTCAAGAGCATTAGGGCAGCTGCACTTTAGATAAAATGTT